ATCTATGAGATACAGAGTCGAAAGCTTCCTCAAAATCCACTGCTCACGAAAAACCCTTTCCCTTGTTCCCCATAATGCATAGAATAAAATAACATATCAGCTATCAATCGTACAGCTTCCCCAATATTTCTATTTTTTATATATCAAACTTGATCATGATGAATTATTTCATTTAAAACTTCTTTCATTCTTTTTGCTAGAACTTTAGATACAATTTTATAATCTACATTCAAAAGTGTGATGGGTCGATAATTTTTAATAATATTATGGAGAGTACCTTTCGCTTTTTTCTCAATTAAGGTAATAACTCCTTGTTTTGAGATGTTGTTAATTCACCGCTTCCATATGTTTCATTCAATACTTCTACTAACATATCACCCAAAGCTGGCCAAAAAGTATAATAAAATTCAACTAATAACCCATCATTTCTCGGGGTTTTATTCAATTTCATTTCTTTTAAGACCTTCAAACATTCTTCTTTAGTTAATTTACCTCTTAAGATTTCCCTATTGTCTTCATTTAACTTTGAAATATCATTAACAAAGAACGGGTCGTTTTGATTTATATCAGCCCTTGATGATTATTTTAATTTCTTTTTATTTCCTCCTTATCTCTAGTAGTTTTCCCATTTTCTTTATACACCTCCCTAATTACGCTTTTCCTTTCATTCGATTTTAACAACTGTTCAAAATATTGCGTATTATTTTTTCCATCTTCAAACCAAGCTGCTCTTGATCTTATTTTAATACCCTGTCGTGAAAAATCGTGCAATTTCTTTAATTTATCCCTTTTATCCTCAATACAATTAACAATATATTTAGTGGGTCCCACTAACAGTTCGCCTTCTAAATCCTTAATTTGTTTCTCTAACAGCTCTATTTCAACCCTCCTTACGTTTGCCTTTTTCCGCGAGTATGTTAAAATTAATTCTCTCATTGTTCATCTTTAAAAAATCCCAAAATACTAATTCATTCAAAATCTGTAATGACCATTCATTTTTTAATTCATGCATTTCCTTATTCATCCCTTCAACAAAATCTTTATCCATACATAAACTACCATTAAATTTCCAATATGATTTCCCAAAAACAAACTTATCAACCAAATAATTAAATTCTAGCCTAACGCCAGAATGATCTGGCGTAATAGATGTCAAAATCCCACACGTACCCACCATTTTTTCAACACTACAAGGTATAAACCAATAATCTAAACGACTTTGCACAACCGGCCACTTTTGTCGAAAAGTAAATGTTTTACATTCGGATTTATTTTTCTCCATATATCTTCTAAATCGTATTTATTTAAAAATTCCTTAATTAAATCAATAACCCGAGATTTAACATGTGTTTTTGACCCCACATAATCTAATTTTTCATCCAATATACTATTGAAACCACCCCATAATAAAACTAGATAGTTCCGATCACACTGATCAAAAAATACTTTCATCTAACTTCTTCCAAAATTCAATTTGTTGAGTTTCTTTATCCCTAGTAGGAAAATAAACTTTACCCTCTATCATTTTAACCCTTTGTATTTCACCTTTAGAAATAATGTATCTCCCCTCTTCATCTACTTTTTCTTCTTCAAAATCTAAATGATTAGAAATTAAAAGAAGAACCCCTCTACTATGGTTTGACCCATGACTTTAAAAATAAATTGGCCCTCCCAAATCTTGTTTCCACCGCTCTTCTATCTCTACTCTACTATATGTTTTTTGTAAGAAAATTATACTATTTTTTTTTTACTTTTGCACCATTCAAAAATATTCCACATAATCTATTTCCCCCGTGAGCAAATGTATAGAAAAAACTATCTTCAGCCAAACATACATGTATACTTATCGTCGAACTAAATTTAAAAATGTAAGCAGACTCCTCCCCCTACCACACAACCCACCGCATTCATACACACAAGCATATTCACTACACATACAACATCCCCACACAAAACAACCCAAATCTGCTCTTCGGTATACATAAAACCGAGAGCATCGAGCCTCCCCCTTTCCCTGTCAGTAAACTAGACCAATGATATAACTCCTTATCTTAATTCTAAACATTTCTTCTCGCAAAAGTTGATGCGAAATAATTTGTATTGTTAAATAACCGTAATATAATTAAAGAAATATAATTACTTTATGCATCTGGCGAAAAGAAAAAGAATTAAAAAAAAAAAAAAAGGTTCTTTTTATCCCTTTAGAAATGCCTTGAATTGTGATACGGAACTCTCTGTCATAACTAAGTTAAATGATTTGCTTAAAATGCATTGCAGTGAATTGACCGGCCCGCGCACCTGATCACAATATGCACCTTCTAATTAAAATAAACACACGATCCCAATAAACCAAATTCCCCCAAACGACACCAGCTCGGCATCGCAATAAACTGTTCGTGCAAATCGAACCCCAAGCACTGTCAACCCCTCACTAAATAATACCCCGCCACCAGGCCTAAAAAACAAGAGTTTTGATTGGGTGAGCAAAACGGTCAATACTCGAAAGATATTGATCTCATGAGAGAAAAGGCTGTCTCCACTTCATAAATAAATGTATAATTGATGACAGAGCATGATGTATTTAACTGAGATAGAATTTGCAGAACAATATTAACTGTATGCATATACCTCTGATCTGATCTGATTTGCATTTGCATTTGATTCTGCAAAATCAAATTTACCTAAAATATGTGGAATTTCAACGGTCAAAGAAAAGACCACGTGAAAGAAAAGTCTCTTCTCTCTTCAAGGCGTGCCTTGAAATTATAATAAAAATGTTGCTATCATTTACCAAGTTATATAATTTGCATAATATACCTCACCAATGAATGAATAGACCGGCTCACGCACCTGATCATAATTTGTATGCACTCCCTACAAACTCCAAACGGGCGTTTTCGACAACTCGAAAGAACACCAAACGTCAGCCCGACATAATGATAGGCAAGCATGCATACCGGATCCCAACACGTTCCTCCCTCTCAAAATATCACACCACCACCTGGCTGAGCAGCTGGGTGAGCAGATCGGACCATTATCTAGATACTCGAATTGTTTTCACTTTACAGAAGAACAAAATTAAACATGTCTCAGTAATTTACTAAGATATGTGAATTTTAGATTGCCTTATCGATAGCAACACATGAAAGTAGAGGGCCTTTTCAATTCTGACATGGCTTTGCATGAAAATTCATGTAAGTTTACTCATAAACAAGTGTTAATGTACTGACACTATAATGACACACTAAATGAGTAAAATTTACTTATCCAATTTAGTTTTTTTTTCTCTTGGTACTCACCATGTTAGTTCCCGTTGTAATGGAGATAAGTGAGTTTTTACAATTGACACTATAATGACACACACGTGAGTATTCTTCTACTATATTATATATTTTTGATTTTAGCAATGGTACCTTATGTTGATCACACAAAAAATACTCGAGTGGAACAAAACAAAAATTGGAAGAAAAAACAAACACATGAGACTTCATTAACTTATAGTAAACGAAGCAGTGTTAGAATAAGTGCTCACTTAACAATTAGAAGTACGTCTTTTTCCCCCTAAAACGCAAACATCAAACAAACTTACGGGTATTCAAATAAAAACGAAACAAACTCTTACTTACGTCTTCGCTCTTCCCACGTCAGCCATAGATTATATGGAGTCTATTCTTCTGCATTGCAGTATATTGCATGCATATTGCATTGCTTGGCGCTAGCATGCGCGAGCTCACGCACGTGGCCGTCGCACAGTGGGCCAGAACCGCCTCAAAGTGTGCCAAAATTAATTTATCATTGAAGAAGGTTAATGAAGTTCCTGGTTAAAGTATCTTAAGGGTTTTCGGACCCATAGAATTCGATGGGAGTATTTTCAAATCCGTGTGACGTCATCAAAATACTGTTTTCTGATTGGACAAGGCAAATATGCATTGTAACACATAGACAGATTCATATTACACTGATTAGTGGAACTTTTAAGGGGTTTCTGGACCTAAGAAACACAACTGGAGCATTTTCAAATTTCTCTGACGTCATTAAAATACTGTTTTCTGATTGGACAAGGCAAATATTCATTGTAACGCATAGACAGATTCATATTACACTGATTAGTGGAACTTATAAGGGGTTTCTGGACCTAAGAAACACAATTGGAGCATTTTCAAATTTCTCTGACGTCATTAAAATACTGTTTTCTGATTGGACAAGGCAAATATTCATTGTAACGCATAGACAGATTCATATTACACTGATTAGTGAAACTTATAAGGGGTTTCTGGACCTAAAAAACACAATTGGAGCATTTTCAAATTTCTCTGACGTCATTAAAATACTGTTTTCTGATTGGACAAGGCAAATATTCATTGTAACGCATAGACAGATTCATATTACACTGATTAGTGGAACTTATAAGTGGTTTCTGGACCTAAAAAACACAATTGGAGCATTTTCAAATTTCTCTGACGTCATTAAAATACAGTTTTCTGATTGGAAAAGGCCAACATGCATTGTAACACATAAACAGATTCATATGACACTGACTAGGGAAACTTTTCAGGGGTTTCTGGACCTAAGAAACACTATTGGAGCATTTTCAAATTTCTCTCACGTCATTAAAATACAGTTTTCTGATTGGAAAAGGCCAACATGCATTGTAACACATAAACAGATTCATATGACACTGACTAGGGAAACTTTTCAGGGTTTCTGGACCTAAGACGCACAATTGGAGCATTTTTAAATTTCTCTCTATAAAATTGTCCGGCATCAACTATTTTTAGTCCACTATTTTCGTATTTACAAACTACTTGTTTTCTGTTTATTGTATCGGGTTTCCCTTTCCATATGAATTTAAAGAATGAGACATCGATTGATTTCAGAAGATGTTCAAAGGGATTTGGAATATAATCAAATAAATTATTATGATTTAAAAATATGAAATACCCTTGAACGTTTTATAACGTTTTTGCCATATCTCTATGTATGGGTCCTTTTGCTTCTCATTACGAGTCACTGTCTGGAGAATCATTGTCTTGAATGACCCGAAAGTCTTTCAGCATCTCTTGGACTTCACGTGGCAGGGTTCTTGGCTGTGGAGTTTTAAGTGATAAAAGACTGATGGCAACATCGCCTGTAATCATAAGACGGTGGAACACGTCACTCATATTGTCTACTCTTGATGTCTTTCTTGCAAATTTCCTTCTGTATACCTTGTTGTCCTTGTTTCTGGCTTCTTGAGCTTCTTCGCTCATCATCCCGATCGGTAGAACTGAACAAGCAAGAATGGTAGAGCCGTGAAGCAGCAGTACATGCACACTCACAGGCATTTTATACCATGGGTAGAGTTGTACATAGATTTCTGCTGTTCTGCGACAATAGTCTCCAAATCGTACTGGATTTAGAGAGGATTTGCAAGAAATTGCTACTAAGATCATGTGAATCCTATGTACTAAGTTCAAATCTAACCCGCAAATGTCAGCAAAGGTGTCCTCCTCTTGGAATGCTCTGCGTGCAGTGTTCCCATCGTTTGTATTTCCCGATCCTTGTTTCGGTTCATCTACTTTAAGACCCATTTCCTCTTTGAAGCGATCGTGTATTTTCTTCTTCTGAGCAGCGACGACAGCTTTGTCATTTTCAGTTGAAACACGCCACTTTTTAATCGTAATTCTGTAAGCAATGTGAATACACATCTCAAAACATCTGATCCATTTATGTAGAGGTGAGAGTCCATAGCTATAAGCTTCCTCATTTGACGCGGAGGGAAGTTTCTCTATGTCATTGAACTGTTTGGGAGTAGCCCCACAGACATAGCATCGCATAGATGACTTGGTTTCTGTCAGAGCATTCACGACTTTCTGATCTACCATGGTGAAGTGCAATTCATAGTTAATCTGTATGGTGTCGTTCCTATTTAGATCTGCTGCCAGCTCATAATCAATGTCCAAAGATACATTCATAGGTTGCAATTTCTTGATTTCATCTTGAACAGATCTATACTCTTCCTGAGAGAGTTCAGTTGTTTCTTTCTTGAATTGAAGATGAATGGGTCGGCAAAATCTTGACGAAGAAGGAACCGGATTTTGCCACAAAATACTGTCTTTTACCTTCAATTGCAGCGGAACTAGAGTAGTGCAGAATATGCTGCTGTCATCCAAAGTACCTGCAGTAGAAAAATAAAATTATTATGTCAGAAATGAATAATTGTGTACAGCAAACATGAATTCAAAATTACTTTAAAATTTCATCAGAATGAAACTTAAAATGTTATACTCATACATCATGTACGTCCAAATGTATCTATATTATCCCAACATTTGGAGGCTTTGATTATTTATTTTATCAAAACATAAAATATCATTGCTCATAAGAAATATATATAATTATCAGGAAATAAATATTAATGGAAACCTAAGCTTGTTTAATTGTTGGAGCATTAAAACCATGTGTTTTTATTTTACTTAAGATATGTCCTTTTTTTATTTGTTTCATGAATCAGCTTTAATGCTGATGTTGGTCTCTCTGATAAAAAAAGAATAAACGCATTTAGCTCTGTAGGGTGGAAAGAAGAAAACACGTACCTGCAGTAGACTTCTGTTTGTATTCACTGTGGCCTGATGAGCCGTCAAAGCCCCATTTGCACACCAATTCACAATTGAACTGTTCATCTTCTTCTAAATTTTCAATGACTCGCGTGATAGTGTCCTTCTGCTCCTGAATTATCCGAAGTGCAGTGTGGTCTAAGAGGCTTTGTAGGGGTACTTTCCCAGAGTCTTCCGTGACTGAGATGTCATTGGGATAACATTTTTCCTTAGCTTCCCTAATCTCGTTATACGGTGGATAAATATCAGCATTTTTACCTTTTGCAGCAAGTCTGGTTGTTTGGTATGCCTGTTTTGTCATTCCTGTTTCAACTAAAAGTGACAAAGCTTCTTCACTTGAGAATTTTAATGGTTCTTTCTTTTTTTCTGATATCAGTTTTCTTATTTTAGCTGGTCTTGATGGTGTTAGCATTGCGAATTTCAACACATATTTCAAACTTGAATTTTTCTTATACACGCCTTGAGATGCCGCATATAGAAGTTCCTCTGGTTCCCTGTCTTCTAGAAGGTGGTGTGCTTTTCTTTTTTTAGAACGATCTGAGAGAGTGTCCCAATTCTTAGCTGGACGTCCCACATTGGATGCGCCCTGTGACGTGCCTGGCAAGTCTGAAGTTGGCTCTGTTTCTGTCCCGGTATCTGTGCTGTTTTGCTGTGCAAGAAATGTTTCTACTTCAGTATTGAATGTCAATGTCTGATTAAGCCAGTCCTCGTTTTCTTTCATGAAATATTCCTGGCGACGACCACACTTGTTCCATTTCTCTCGCATACGATACAGAAAGCGTCCAATAGTCTTTGACAAACTCTTGAGAAGTTTTTGTGGGATGTTTGACTTGTTACCCAAATTATGATATGCACATAATGCATCAATGGATGTTTTGGATGCCAGTTTGATGTCTGAAATGAAGCCAGCTGAATGCACAGCATGAAAAAGCTGTCTTCTTAATACCGCCATCGTTTATTTCAATCCAAGTTCTCCTAGAATGATATCATATATGATTGCGAATTGCATCAACGTGTGAAAGCAATATACACTACGCTACACGCTCTACACTCACGTAACCGTTGCCATGGTTACGCGGACGAGCGTTGAATCGGCTGTGCGTAAACAGTACAAAATTGTACCGATTATGCCTAATAATAATCGATGGACGTGGGGAGAAAAAGCGCCTGCACATGCAGAGTCGCAAATTATGGCAAAAAGAAATACCATACATGGAAAGCATAGGTTTGGGCGGACATTTTGAGATTAACATCACTGCGGGAATCGGCCGGAATCCTAATTAATATGCTACTTTTATATAAAAATTGCATTTTTCCCCTTTTTTTGTGAAATTAAATGCTCATTTTTCCCAAAATGAAGCTTCCATAAATTTGGTCATTGTATTTTCTAATTGGGTTACCAATAGGCAAGAAGTGCACGCAGTATCAAGTTGATTGCTTTTCCCTTCATACATTCTCAACACCTAGTGTAAAGTTACCTTTTTTATCATTTTTGAAGCAACATATAGATTTTCCCATGTTCGCAGGGGTATATGACACTTTTAAAACTCGCTAAATATTAAAATATGGGTGGAAAAATATTCTTTAGAATGTTTTCTTCCCAAAACGAATGAAAAAAATATAAAAATTCACATTCGCCAATTTTGAATTTTGGCACACTTTGAGGCGATTCTGGCCCACTGTGCGTCGTACTCAGATTCGTGGATAATTTTCTCCGACTCTAGGTCCTATACACACGAAATGAGTGAGATCACTCACTTGATAGTATTGGAATTTTTCGAAGAACGAGTCAATGAGTAAATATCCCACAGTTTAACGGAAACTGTAATGTGTTAATGACTTGGTTTACTGACTAGGCAGTGGATTTACTAATTTTACATAATTTTCATCGAGAACTGAGAATGTTTACTCACTTTTTTTCTACACCAGTTGAGAATACTTGTTCAAGTGATTTTTGTTTATATATCATCGAGTAAAATGAAACTTACCAAGGCGGTAACAAATGTAATGCTTGGTCATGTACTCCAGTTTAGCAATTCACCCGACTATATGGCCCGAATTCACAAAGGAGGTTTGTCGACAAACCGAGGTTTATGTGCGTTGGTTTGTAAAAAAACAAAAAGAGGTTTGTCGAAACAAAAGGAGGTTTGTCGACAAACCTCCTTTGTGAATTCGGGCCTGAGTTAAACACTAATAGGGCCGGGGGGGCATCATGCCCCTCCCCTCCACGATTTGTCTGATTGTTCGGGAACGCATATGGATGGCGCCCCGCCGCTCGCTGACTTTATTCTTTCGAGTCTTGCGCAACTTCTAAAATATTTGTTTTAAAAATCGGACCTACGGTTACAAGGTCAAATGACCTTTTGTTTTTGCATGTCAGCCCGAAAATCGCTCATTTTCGTGATTTGTGTACTAAACATATGGAAAAGTCATTTGTCCTAAAAACAGATCAAACATGGGTTATTGGGTCTTGTTTAAAGTTTAAGTGGTTGTTTTTGGGAGTCAAAATAGTTGAATTGTGGTAAGAAATGAAATAAAACAACAAAAACAATAAAATACATAAGTTAAAAAAACAATGAAATACATAAGAAATTATCAAAACAGGGGATAACATAAAGCAATAAGCTGGCTCTTCCATTTTTTTTTTTTTTCGTATTCTTATTCAGAATAGTCTAATGAATATATGTAGTGAAAAAGAATGCTTAAATATGAATAATATATGATTAGTGGATAAAAATGTGATTTTTATGACCTTATTTGCATAAATTACCATAAATATGCAAATGAGTGAATTTTTTCAATGAATTGAAATTATCATAGTATTCTATACACTTCACTTGACATGCGTGCAAATTTTCGCGGAGATCGGCCGCTTCACGGCCGAGATCTTATGGGGGGGCCATAATGCCCCCCCCCCCGGCCATACTAAGACCTCAAATAGCCCGGCCTTTTTTAAGGGTTTTACTCGAAACAGGGAGTTCTTGTTTTTTTGTGTATGGTGTGAAATATAATTTTTACTTTCTTGTTTTATTTGCACTTCTATGCCTCTCTAATATGTTTGTATTATTTATTGACTTTAATTTCAACAGTGAACCCGTGTAATATCTCTGGTCAACCATTCGGCCTTGAAAGTGGTGCTCTTCCCGATTCGGCTTTCTCCGAATCATCCTGCTACTCGGCGGCCTTCTGCAGCCGTTTTGGCCGCCTGAACGATGACACAGCCTGGATCGCATACTCGACCGACCAAAACCCATGGATGCAGGTCCAATCTGAGTGCAGTTATATTGAAGCGGTCGTATATACTACTCAGGGTAGAAATAACGTTGGTCAGGGGGTGACGTCATACACTTTTTCAGATAGATAGATAGATAAATGGTATTTATTGATTCATTTCCATGTATCGCAGTTACAAGCAACTGAATTGTGCATGAATAAAACATTGACGGTGAAGACAATTATACATTTCAAGTGATATCACAGTAAAAAGTAACTGAATTGTACATGAGTAAATTGCTGGAAAAAAGCAAGTATACATTTCAAGATGTCACACTACAATCTACATAATTATGAAGAGCGTGTATATTATATATACTATTAATCTTATACAATATTTCAATTTAGAAATTTGAGTTAAAAAGAAAGAGAGATGGGAAAGCAGGAGAGAGAGAAAAAAGAGAGAAAGAGAGAGAGAGAAAGAGAAAGAGAGAAAGAGAGAGAAAGAGAGAGAGAGGGGAGAAAGGGGACAGATGGACAGAGAGGGAAAACAATTATGTACATGTTGATAAAATACAAAGATATATTTCAAGACAAATATGAATATTATAAGGTGAACATTAGAGATATTAAAATATAAATATAGATATGCATCGCATTCTTCATATCATAACAAATACATTGTCTAACTGGGTAAAAAAAAACTGACCTCAAATTTATGAATTAATTATATACTAAGGAATATGAAATTGTAATTTGTTTCAGAGTATATTAAATACAATCATAAAAAACTTTTGTTATACAAAACCCATGACAACATGGCTTGGACTGATTGTTTGAACGTTTACTATGAATCAGTTGAAGTGAATGCAAAACTGCGGTTTCCTTATTTACATTTAAAAACAAATTAATCAGTGGTCTTTATTTTCAGAAATATACAGTGTAACTTCAAAAGAACTCCATGGGACTATGGAACATTGATCGCTATAATTGAACTTATTTGTGCCAGGGCTGACAAAAAAAAAAAAAAAAAAAAAACGGTATATATTATTAAGGAATAAAATCATTTGGAGTGTCTTGCTGAAGTAAAAGTTTATAAAACAATGTTTTGAAATAACGAGGTCCCACTGTTGTTTATATTACTGTTATTAATTGATTTTTTTTTTTTATATAAAAAAAGAATAATACAACCAAATAAAGATAGAGTTTTCCAATGTGTGTAACAAAGAGGGAACTATATGGGTATGGACCTCTAACTGATGTCATAGGTAAGTGCAGAGTAGGACTGTTAATAAATGAGAAATTTTACCACTGGTAAAAATGGCAAAAGTGACCTCTAATTGATGCCATATAAGTAGGTGGAGAGTAGGACTCTTAGTCTAAATCAAAATACACGATAATTGTTATTTCGTACAGAGGTCTAGGTACCATTTTCGAGAGACAGGAATTGTTTAAAATGATTTCTAACCCTGTTCAATTATCTGACCCCGCCCACTGTTCTCCAATCCATCCCTTCCTATATTTTGACCGTCTTTAATTCTACGATTCCGTTTTTTGGGTCTCCGACACTTCTTTCTCTCCCCATATCTGTGCTTTACCGTCATGTCTGCAAATTAACACCCACCACCGCCCTTCCTCTGACTCTTTCTATCCCTTCCCATCCCTTTCTACCTCTCCGCCTTTCTCTCCCTCATGCTCTCTCCATTCAACGCCCCCTCTCTCTAACTCTCTGTCCCTCTTCCTCTATTTTAATTTCTCTCTCTCTGTCACCGTCCCTCTCTTCCATCTCAATCTCTCTCCATCCCTTTCCTCTATTTCAATTTCTCTATCTCTCTTTCTCTCCATCTCTCACCTCTCACCTATATCATCCATTTCTATCTTTCCGCCTTTCTCTCCCTCATGCTCTCTCAATTCAACGCCCCTCTCTCTCTCTCTCTCTCTCTCTCTCTCTAACGCTCTGTCCCTCTTCCTCTATTTCAATTTCTCTCTCTCTCTCTGTCTCCGTCCCGCACTTCCATCTCAATTTGTCACTCTCTGGCCGGGCTATTTGAGGTCTTAGTATGGCCGGGGGGGGGGGGGCCATAATGCCCCCCCCCCCCCGGCCATACTAAGACCTCAAATAGCCCGGCCTTTTTAAGGTTAAGGGTTTTACTCGAAACAGGGAGTTCTTGTTTTTTTGTGTATGGTGTGAAATATAATTTTTACTTTCTTGTTTTATTTGCACTTCTATGCCTCTCTAATATGTTTGTATTATTTATTGACTTTAATTTCAACAGTGAACCCGTGTAATATCTCTGGTCAACCATTCGGCCTTGAAAGTGGTGCTCTTCCCGATTCGGCTTTCTCCGAATCATCCTGCTACTCGGCGGCCTTCTGCAGCCGTTTTGGCCGCCTGAACGATGACACAGCCTGGATCGCATACTCGACCGACCAAAACCCATGGATGCAGGTCCAATCTGAGTGCAGTTATATTGAAGCGGTCGTATATACTACTCAGGGTAGAAATAACGTTGGTCAGGGGGTGACGTCATACACTTTTTCAGATAGATAGATAGATAAATGGTATTTATTGATTCATTTCCATGTATCGCAGTTACAAGCAACTGAATTGTGCATGAATAAAACATTGACGGTGAAGACAATTATACATTTCAAGTGATATCACAGTAAAAAGTAACTGAATTGTACATGAGTAAATTGCTGGAAAAAAGCAAGTATACATTTCAAGATGTCACACTACAATCTACATAATTATGAAGAGCGTGTATATTATATATACTATTAATCTTATACAATATTTCAATTTAGAAATTTGAGTTAAAAAGAAAGAGAGATGGGAAAGCAGGAGAGAGAGAAAAAAGAGAGAAAGAGAGAGAGAGAAAGAGAAAGAGAGAAAGAGAGAGAAAGAGAGAGAGAGGGGAGAAAGGGGACAGATGGACAGAGAGGGAAAACAATTATGTACATGTTGATAAAATACAAAGATATATTTCAAGACAAATATGAATATTATAAGGTGAACATTAGAGATATTAAAATATAAATATAGATATGCATCGCATTCTTCATATCATAACAAATACATTGTCTAACTGGGTAAAAAAAACTGACCTCAAATTTATGAATTAATTATATACTAAGGAATATGAAATTGTAATTTGTTTCAGAGTATATTAAATACAATCATAAAAAACTTTTGTTATACAAAACCCATGACAACATGGCTTGGACTGATTGTTTGAACGTTTACTATGAATCAGTTGAAGTGAATGCAAAACTGCGGTTTCCTTATTTACATTTAAAAACAAATTAATCAGTGGTCTTTATTTTCAGAAATATACAGTGTAACTTCAAAAGAACTCCATGGGACTATGGAACATTGATCGCTATAATTGAACTTATTTGTGCCAGGGCTG